TCAAGAAAACAATTTGTGAGTGGCGTGGCGTATGGGCATTCGGGGGGGTAGTAAGGATGAGTTGGTAAATGTCGATGTATGAAAGAACAGATATAATTATAAGATACGAATGGATGAAGATGTATGAATGCATGGAAGGATGAACGTGTTAACAAATAACGAATTATTCGACATTGTTTCAATACAGCGCAACAAGAGGGATTTAAAACTGAAAAGCGGGTGATACGTGTACGTGTACGTACATTGGTTTTGAAAAATAAAACAAGTTTAAACAACAGTTTAATGAATGTTTTTCGACAGGGAATCCAATCGTCAATTGATGCTCTGAATTATCAAGCACACTCAATATAAGTAATATCTAATCAGGGCAATGATATGACCATTTTAATGTTTCATTAATACGTTTTTTATTAGGCAATTGAACACCCCTATGTATTTATGTAGTGTCAGATATTCGAAAAAATGTGCGTTTTCGTCGGAAATTTAGAATTCCCAAATATTCAATTGTATAAATGGTAACGCTCTCTGTGTATCAACTGTCCAGTTTTCATGCGATGAATAAAATCCACTAATAAAATAATAAAAATTGAGTTGAAACCAATGTTCAGAAAATATCAAAAATCCTTTTCGATGACGAAAACTGTCGGGAAAAGAAAGGTAACCCTTTATCGAACTGATATATAAAACGATCCTTTAAGCCTTGCGATGCAAGCACACAACTTATTAGGATACTGGGAGAGAACTGCAAAACGTATGTATAGAATAAATAGAATGTTCAACGAAACCTCGTGCAATATAGGATTTGCTACACAGGTGTAGTAATTTGCATAACGAAACTAAAAGCACTAGTGCAATAAATCTGATGTAAAAACGTCAATCACTGGATATCTAATATATGTAGGTACTTCTACGCTCTAACACGCCAAACAATCATAAATAAATAAATAAGAATAGTCGTTACTTGTTTTCCCTGGAGCTGCGACTGAACAACCAAGCAGTGTGAGTAATACTAGTATACGCATTGTAAAACAGTATTGTGTAGCGATTTCAAGAGGAGGATATTTGGAGTGGCGGACAAGTGGTCTATTGATGCGACAATTGAAACACGGTTATATATGCCAAACACATTAACACAGAAATAATTATGCAAAGGCTTAAACTGAAGCCTGCGTAGTGAATTCAATTTATGTTGATTTGAAATGGAATAACAACGTGTGACAGATTGGACGGTGTACATCTTAAACACAGTCGGTAAGTATGATTTAAATGAGATTGTTCAATGAATACGATACTGAAGTTTTTCATATGACAAACTATATGCTGTATGTGTTAATTAAATTGATGTACAATTGCGTCGAAGCATATATACAAGGCGAAATTGTATATGTCGAGATTGGCCTGACTACTCGACGTTGGGGGTAGGGTAGCCATTTCAGGTAGCTCGTATTAACTTTAGGGAAGTAATCAAAATCAAACCAGCGGTTTCCGATCTCGTATCCCCGGAGCTCCGCGCAATATGCAAATTTATGCAAAAATATTCATGAGCTGACAATTCAGTGCGGAGCCTCTATTTCGCGAGAGAACAAATTAAAAGTAAATATTCACAGCTATAATGGGGTTACAAAATGCCGTGATTCATAAAATCGTAACTACATAACTTTGAAAAACGTGGGTCAGCGGTCATTTTCCAATGTATAACAAATACCATTACGTTAACATTCTACAAATCTTCACAGCTATAATTATAGTTACAATGGGATTACAAAACGCCGTATTTCATAAAATCGTAACTACACAACTTTGCAAAAAACGTGGGTCAGCGGTCATTTTCCAATGTATAACAAATACCATTACGTTAACATTCTACAAATCTTCACAGCT